ATAATATTGTAGCACGATTGTTCTTTGGGCAAAGAAACTAAAATTTACAACTTTTAAATAACTTATCCCACCACAATATTTTGTGGATCCAACAGGAGTTACCAAATTTTTGTAAATAAAACCCCCTCAACGTCCAAAGACTTACTGTATATTTAGACATCCCATCGGCAATCTGTGTGCAAATATTGAATTCCTCACTTCCAGATGGGCTTCCGGGGAGAAAAAGTTCAAAATTAGATTTATACTTACCTCGAAGAAAAACTACTTTGTCTTTGAGTTTTTATTATTTATAAAATAAACGATAATTGGGGTTAGTACTCTGAAAAACTTTGACAATGTCTCCACGAGTACTATCTCCAATACTATAAATGTTATACTATCTTCCATGGGTTCTATTTGTGTGCCACGATTCTCTAAATTAAATATATTGAATACTTTTGTAAAGTTTGCATTATCGATACCAAACAAAAATCATAGGTGCTTGCCTGGCGGTAGATTTAAATAAATTAAAATTTAATTAAATTATTAAATTTAAATTATTTCCATTAAAAAGAATATAAAATACAAAAGGTTTTGACTTAATTTCAGATTTTCTTGATTAGTTAATCCAAGCAGAATGTAGTTAACTTTTGTGTATAATTTAATGTTTATGACTTTGTAAAAGTCGATGCAACCAAAACTCATCGTACCGGGCCTTACTCGCATGTACTTATATGTATGGTCAAAAACAATTTGATTCAAACTATTATTAAGAATAGGCTTGTTTACCCAAGTCTACGAAACTTTTGATTTTCTTTGCTTACTCAGTACATTACTGGAAATGTGAACAACGCACATCGGCACATGCATTATTAGGTGCTGATAACACGGTATATTTTATTGGGTATTGCAGAATAAACAGTATTTGAAGACTATGGCGTGACTATTAACAAAAAAAAAAAACACCTATTCAATATTCTATATTTTAATTTGTGAAGAATGTCTACAAAAATGTCTGACTCGGTTAGATTGTTGTTCGCGAAATTATGGCGTGACAAAGATGATGTGTGAAAATTGTACTAATTTTCTTTTGACCTCAAAAAAAAGAATTTTTTTCGAACTTGTTACTCTAAAATTCCAGTTAGAAGAGAGGCGCCCGTCAAAACAAAGCGGAAGCTACCCTCTCACAATGTCTTCAAGTTGATTACATTAACATTGTTCACAATCCGCCTTTTCTTGATGATAATTTCTGAAAATTTTAAAACATTTTTTTGCCAGATTCGATGGTATAATTTGCAAGTAATTTTACTTATATTGTTTATACGTTAGGCGTATTTAATTGTTGCAATTGTAAAAACAATTTAAACAATTTTTAACTATTGTGTATTTATTCAAAATTAAAGAAATGTAGACTGTATGTGGTTACATTTTGTGGAAGTTAACTTCTTAAGATTTGTTTTAATGATTCCATTTTTTAACAGAGACATTTAAAATAACGACGAAGTTAGAAGTATAAAGTTGTAAAATTATAGACAAAATATAACTTCGGTGAGGTGGTATTGGTTTTATAGTTTTTATACTTCCCTGTAACGATTACATTTAAACTACTCATCTGTTTTCCTTATGTAGCAAGTCAACATCGAGGCCAAAATCTTAAGAAGTTTACCCATATCTCTATTAAATTATGAAAACCACTAAAAATGTATAACTTATTCGTATTTAATAAAATATAAACAAGTATAATAATAAGTTAGCAAACTGGTTCAAGGTCGGCCACTACAGGCACAAAATTAATGTAACTAATTTTGTAAGAAGTAAATTAATTAGTCACTGCCAAACGTCCCGATGGGAATCGGTGAACATTGTTAGATAACTTCTTGACTTAACAAATTGCCAAAGGTAAATTTTCGAAGGAAGGGAGCGAGTGAACTCATTAAAATTTGACCCACTAATAAAGTATACCGGTGCAGAAACATTTGTCTAGTCTTAAGACACAACAAAAAAAGCCATTACCTTCTCAGTTTCTTTATTAGACTACAATATGTCTTCAGTCAGTATTTTACATTCGAATTTTCAAAAAAAGTTCTTTAATTATAATTATTTTTATGGAAATTATGAAGTCTAAAATATTTATCATAATTTTTCGCAGTTAACCTTTTAATAGTATAATGTCGGCGTGTAAAATGTGCAAAATTCAAAAGTGGCTCTCCTTCGTTCGGGTTTTACGACTTTACAGTGGATAATAAATTAAAATATGATCTTCAACACAAATTTACGTTAATATAGATATTAAAAGGTATTAGCTGGTTATGTTGTAATTTCTGTTAAGCTTTGTGCATTGCGTACTCTTGCATTTTCAACTTGGTGAACAATACAGTCAACTCGTGCTAAAAATACTTCAACTTTGTACAAGACAAATGCCTCTATTACTCGGATATAACAGTCGCGTTATTGTCAAAATGCTACTGTTAACTATAATGATAATAGTAATAATTATAATATTATTAGTAAATGTCTTATCGCCATATTTACTTGCGTCCAGCAAGTTTGAAAACAAAGCGTTCGATTATCATCACTAATATTGGTAATTTTAATCAAACGTTTTTCGAATACACGTCCCAAAAGCAAAATTAATTACCAGGACTTCCATAATATCCAAATTTTCAACAACACCCTTTGTGTACACAGGTACGCATATTTCCATTAATAACAATTTTCAGTGTATATAATAATAATAATATTGAAAATAGTATATACAAACGTGTACATCATCATGTCCATCGTATACCCGCGTTAACCGGGGTTGCAATTTTTAGGTAATAACAACCCTTATCAGTGCAACCAAACGTTTCCATTAAAAACCCATCGAGACCCGCCTTTGGGCCGTGTACCACGATTAACATAAAACGGGCTTTACACTTTTGACACGGTTCTACTCTAAAATTTTAACCGCAAGCCAAAACAACAACATAGCACAGATCGCATTAACTATACCGCCCATACGATAATGCCGTCGAACTTAAATGCTTAACATTAAACAAAAAAAAAACAGTTATTAGAAGCTATGAATACTTCAGGCCTAGTTATTAGTGCTTTCAACCCAACCGGTTAAGGTGAAATCCTCGAGGTAGGCATACAGTTGTTGTTTGTTAAGTTTTGGGTAGTTGTGATTTACCATATATTGCTATAAAAGGAGCAGCTGCCGGATTTCGATCCAACAACGATGATCGAGCAAAATATTAATTTAAAAAAAAAATTCAAATAAAAATTATGAACATATTATTATTGTATAAAATACCGAAAACGTAACGCGGTAAGTGTAAATATTCCCAATATTACGCTTCTGTGCATTAATAAACCATCGGTGTTTTGCTGATTACACTATAATATATAGATAGATGTATTTGTTTGAGGGTTTTTATTTTTTTGTTAGCTAGGGATTTGTTTGAAAAATCCAAGGCTGTATTTGCATTTGGATAATATTGTTTAATACAATATAAATACACCTTTGTCCGCGTGCTCTTGATTCACTTGCAAATTCTTTGTTTACCGCTCGTTATTGGTTTTTATTATTATTATTTTTTTTTTTAGTTGTACCGTAAAGTATTGATATTGGTCAAAAAAAATAAAAAAATGTCCTAACAGCATTGCGTTTGATTATCCATTTAATTTATAAAACCATAGCTAAACAGTCCATAAGCATATTATGCTTCATGGACATATGTAGTGCTAAGGAGCCCACGATCATGATATTATATTATATTATAATATTTTTCATCAGTTTTGTGGGGAGGGGGTGAGTGGTCTAAAGGGAGGCCGAAACTTGAATACAAAAACCACCACTCGACTGGACCTTAGCGAAAAGAAACCTTCTCCGGTTCGTGTAGTGCAGTCACAACTAAAACGTATTATACAATATTTTATATTATTATTATAATTTAGTACACGTGCGACCTAGAAACGGCGCAAGGGTTAGGTTGAACCCCTTGGAGTAAGTGGCCATTTTAAAACCTTCAAAAGGCCCACCGGGAAAGTCGATAAAACCAGCGTAAATACTCAAAAATAATAATAATAATAATAACAACAAGGTAGGTAGGTATACCATACAACGCCAAAACCTATCCGTCCGTTCTTTCCATTCGAATAACGATCAATAAACAAATATATATATATAGATACATATATAACTAGAACCATTGTATAATATTATGTAATCAGTCACTTTGCCGTTTTGTTTGAGATAACTTGACAAAGTCAGTATAAAAAACGTTTACTTGCCCAACGTTGATAGAAAGTTGGCTTGTTGTAGCGCGTTCTTTGAATTATCAATCATTCAATTTTAATTTTTTAGGTCTTACTTGACCGTTCCGGCCGATTTAGTTAAAAAATTAAGTTAAACAATAGTAAAACCATTATTCATAGACCGAACTTAACTTAAATGGCCTAGGGAACTGGTGAAAATTATCCAGGTACAATCAGTTAGCTGTTAGGTATAATAATTATACTATCAATGTTATTTTCAAATTATTATTTTTTTTTGGGAAGTACAACAATGTTTAGATGGTAAACGCACACCCATCTAAATTATTTCTGCCGAGACTTCGTAATTAAACGAGTATCAACATTTATTTTTTTTTTTTTGCTGATAATTTTCATATTAAAAGATTTTAATTTGAAGAATTTTTTATTGAACAAAAAAAACTTTAAAAATTTAACTTTTAATACAAAATCGACCAAAGCCACATCTAGAATTGGGTTTAAAAATCTAAAAAACATATCAAAAATTATTTTTTCATCCAAATAATATACTGTGTCAAGAGAAGAACAAAAATAATAGACCATCTTTGGACTTACCCGCGGTGGACGACTAGATGGCGGTGGTGGTAAAAGCAGTGGAGAAAGACACAGTGGCGGCGGCGGCGGCGGCATTACGGCGATGTGATCCGGACGGCGGCCGCACACCTGCGCACACGCGACCCGTACACCACCGCCGCAGTCGCCTCCACCACTCGTCCCAGGCCCTCGTACGACATTCCTGCGACGAGCGAGCGACACTGCGGTTGTACTCCGCGTTGTACTCTGGACGCGCGCGGCACACATCAACTGTGACACTCACACTCAACGGAGGCCAACGGAAAAACCAGCGTTTTTCGTCGTTTTTTTGCGGTGTTATTGTTTTCGCGTTACAGTACACCTGTTTTCGTTTGCGCGGCACACGGACGCATCAAAGAGACCTCGACCCAAAGGCCGCAAGCCACCGACAACCCCGCAGAAGGGTGACACGTTCGCAAGAGCAACAGCCCACGGAAATTCGCCGAACATGAGGGCCGTCGTCCTGTGCGCAGCCCTGTTCGTCGTGCCCTTGTTCGCTTTAACGCTCAAGGTAAGTGTCTGGCCTTACGTACGTTTACATAAACATATTAGCTTTTAGGACGTTACTAGAGTCTTATCAACTAAAAGTAATCTTCTTGTAGAAGTATTGATAATGCGTTCGTTTAACTCTTATAATACAAATCGGTATGTGCGGTTTCACTGTTAAACGTAAACAATCCAAGTGGTTTTGGTCGTTTTCTTCTTCTAATATTATTATAAATATTGTAAACAATACCAGCGGCAACAATGACAATGTTGATCTCAAACCTAAATATTTTAGTTCCCCCACCCCCGCCCCTGGACATCTGTTACGGGGTTTAAGAACGTTTTCCTAAAGACAAGACAATAATCTTGACCGAAAATCGCACTGCATTCGCGCTTAAAACAATATAAGGATTTTGGACGGCCTTGAGAGCGATTTTATTTCTCTGGAAAAAAAATACTATACTAATAATAATAATAATAATAATAAAAAAATAAAGGTCCGCCGAGAAAAGGCCGCCTAAACACACCCTTGTAACGCAATTACCCGTCCGTTGTATACACATTAAGGGTCGTCATCGGTCGGTTTGCATACACATACAATAACATTATATACATGAATTATACAATAATATTATTACGATGAAATGTTATTGTGCGCGTCACCAAGAAGATATCGACCAAACGCGACGACTTGCTTACCAAAAGGGGACTCGCCTACTTGGTTTAGGTATTGGTAGTGGCTTTTTTTATTTTCAGTTTTCCAAACACGAGTCGACTTGTGCACTTGAACTGTGGCCGCGCCGTGAAAGTCTAAAACGACCCGGACGGAACCGGTTAGGCTTTTTTTATTATTTTTTTTATACGACACAGAAGAGATGACGAGCGACGCGATCTACAAGAAAATCACGTGCCACCGAGGCCGGTGATTTGTGAATAAGACTAAGAGAACGATAACCCTCCCCTCCCTCGTTTGTGTGTGTTTCCGTCGGATCACAACTTTGGCGTTCAACCGAGTATAATAATTACCGTGTTACCTCGGTAATCCCTTGGTGTACGACACGGTTTGGTTGGGTTAGGGCCACTCGTTAGTGTTGTTTTTAAATATTTTTTTTCTTCCTGTTTTCTCGAGACGCGGTTTTCCTTAATCCCGCAGACCCGTCGGCCGGTCACGTTTGTCCATAACGAGGGCGGCACGCCGCGGGCAACTGTCTTGGCACACACCCATTGTTAGTATGACAATTTTGAATACAGAGAATTGCCCAAAGACGGAAGACCTCTTTACCCCCCCCCCCCCCCACGATCATTTGAATTAATCCGAGGGGCTCGGCTTAAGTGCAACGATTTATGTACAACACAATAACGACAATCGAACCGCAGAAGTGCAGTTTGTGCGGTTTTCAGTGGCCAAGTCCAAGGAGGATGACTCGGGCAATAAAGGCGTTTATCCGGGGCCGTGTATAGACAGTAATTTTAAGGAACGGGCGCTTACGCTTTGGGGCCCGTCCGTTGTGTCAAAACTATATTATTGTAATTAAACGAGTTTCACTGGCGCGCGTTGTCCGTTTCGGAAAAATCGCGGCCTGTTTATGTATTATAAACAGTAAACGCACGCGTATAATGTATAGGTATAAAAGACATGACGTATGGATGAACGGACCTGTGTACAAGATTAATTACGGGCGAGCGCGAGAGGTGCGTATCACTGTCTGTTTTGTGGCACGCTGGACGCGGCCCGCGGTGGAGCGGATAAAACGTTTAATGCAAAAACTAAAGAAGCACCGCCGCCCGCCCTAGCAACCCTGTCCCGCCGTCCCGCCTCGACCCGGGGCGGCGGCTCGGTTATTAAATTCCGCCCGGCGGCCAAACGCTGTCGGAGAACGGGCGGACGACGAACGGTTGTTTCCCACATGTACTACCGGCGGCCGCGGCGGCGCGGAGAGGGGCAATCAATATTTCTCCCGACGTTGCCGGCGCGGGCCGCAAGGGCGCCTAGCGTCTTGACGCGAGCCGCGGCAACCGCAGGGTAATTACAGGGACCGTCGCCCCTGAGTTTTTTCTTATCTTGTTTTCGTTCTTTTTTCGCTCACCCCTTGATCGTTGTTCTGTTCTCCTTCCCTTGTTCACACATAACGCACACACGCACCCTCGCAGCATCTTCCTACAAGATTCGCGCACCATTAGACTCGAACAATGCACCGAGTACGCGTGTATTGCACCTCTCGCAGTAACATCTTTCCGCGGCTTCAAGTCCGGTACCTAACTCGACGCAAAACAAATGTGAGGCGGAAAAGAGGGGAAAAGAGACCAAATCATGGGTCAGGGTTGGAAACATATTTAAGAAAAAAAAATCATGTGATCTGCTTAAGTGTGTAAAATAAAAAGTTGGCAATATTTCAAAATTTTGTTTGTTCTCAAAAAACTTATTTTCCAAATTCTGGTCTCAAAATGCTCAGAATTTGAAATAACCAATTACTCAAAATTGAATTTTTCCGATGGGAGGACCCTTTTTCCCTTTTCGCCTTACAAATATGTTCCACCTATTTGTCCGACTGGGAATAAAAATCTGAATTTACAATATTGTCTCATACCTATCTCACTCGGAGTAATTTTTAGAGTTTTTAAAATTGTAGCTTAAACTTAACTCGTGGGTGATGTAAATAAAATAGAAATATTAATTATTTTAAGTGGCTCGGCCGCGGTCTGTATTCGACTCAAAATCATGTCTTAAATAGAATAATCTGATTTTGATTATAAAATATGTTAAATGTATGCATGTATATTTATATACATTTTTTTCTTGAATAAAAAATGAACTCCTACAGTGGAGATTGGATTTCGATTTGAATAATATCAATTTTTACTTTTTTTTTCAACTCATTATTTTTGCTGTTTTTTTTTTGAAAATGTAATCAATTCCAATGTAACGTCCAATCTCCGCTGTAGGAAATTTTCCTCTTTCAAACGGAAAATAAAAAATAATCGAAATCGGATCACTTAACGAAGCGTCGTCGCTTTTCACGTGAAGTCATTTTTCACTGCCGAATTATTACTTATAGAAAAAAAATGTTAAAAATACCTTGAAGCTTATACGAACTATCATGAAAACAAACTGACACGGTCAACATTTATTAGAACCTCATTTTTCTCAAATAGTGCCTACATTTTGCCCTTAAACAAATTAGAAGCGAATAAGAAAAGGTAATTTTCGATTTCCCATTTCAAAGAGCTGTCAAGTCACCTGAAAACAGTTACATTTATAAATCCAACTCAACACACATTATGAAATTTGATCATTATCTCCTTCTTCACCTTTTCACATACAAACGGGGACGACCAGACGAATCCTCTCTATCCGAAAATCCCTATCATTCCTGTCATCATACATTTTTCTTTATTCAACACTCGTTCTTCTACATCTAAATCCCTTTGCACTTATCTATTTTACCTGTTTTATTATTTAATATTCTCTGTTCGGTCTAACCTAGTCACTCCCCACATCCATCCATCTCTTTTATGCTATGCCCAACATTGACATCCGTGCACCGTTGCTGGCCTTACTGTAGTCTTATACAGTTTTTCTTTTACTTTGTGTCACGTTTCTGCCACACCACACCACTTTTGCCTCTTTTCACCCTATGTCCAACCACGCCTTTATTCTCCTGGCCACATCTCTTTGGCTATTTTCTTGCTCGAGTCTACAATATTTTTATATGATTTTGTTTTTTACCTTAATAGTTAAAACGCATTTGGGCGGCTAATTTGTTTAGGCGTTTAAAAATCAACGTTAAGACAGGGAAATCGTGCATAGATAAATCCATTGTTATCGCTTTCCCTGAAATACCACATTGCTTTAATTGTATTTAACTACATCAACTTGCACGTTAGTTTAATAACGAGTTTTAATATTTAATTTCCACGCCATCGTTGTGTCTTTACGGTAGCTGCCTTCCTGGCTAACTCTTACAATAATTAACAGCTAAACGATTATGTGTAATTTATTAAGCACAGCCAGAAGGTGTCTAAACGAGGAGAGTTCTAATTGCAATACCGTAGTGCACTTAAATTAATTAGTATGTTGGTACAATCTCGTTTGTGTTCTTAACACGAGGACATAATAACCGTGTAATCCTACGGCGCTAAGTAAACAAAAAGGATTGACATAAAAATATTATGTTTATGACCATAAACGCTATCTTATTACAATGCCCGTCTCGGATTATGCTAAAATTAACTTGAAAAATATACTACTATTAGCTGGCTAATTAAACTGTTAGACAACGGTCTTTGATAATAACAAAACTGTTGTCCACACAAGACACGTTTCCTGTGTACATTTTTAAAACGTTAGTCAAAATTACTAACACCATCATAGTTGTCTTCGCGGGTTGAAGGTTTAACAAATGATAATGTCTTAGTATGACTTGTGGTTTTTGTTCAAAATAATATATAATTATCCATTATTTTTCCAAACGTTTTTCTCAGACTCGACCGGGTTACTAGTATGACCATAAGGGCTAATTAATCGTTGCCTTTAAAAAAAAAATCTTTATTTAGTGCATAAAGACATCAGTCATCGGCAAACCACAGACGTCATTTTGACACCGCAAAGAAAATGGCTTTTCGATATTTTAAAATGAATAACAGCCGTGATATTTTGAGGAGAAAAAAAAATGAATTTCTCTATTCCCGTTTATAATAAATAATATAATGATGATGTTGTTACTACAGTCTTTACGGCCTCTAGCATTTCAATATTTCAAACGAACGATTGCCGGTGCCGCAATACATATTTTATAATTTGAAATATTAATGTAATTTTGTTTTATATATTTATAATATGAATTATTATTGGGTTTAATGAGGGTTTTGATGATTCAAAGTTATTATTGTATTCGATGCCAAATTAAAAATATTATTAATGCAAAACTCGCTGTGGAAATAAAATAAAATAACTTACACCGTTATTAGGTGCAGACGGCTAATAACTTTTTGTAGGGTTTATTTTTGCGCTGAAAACGAATTTCT